CAAGGGTAGGAAGAGGCAGGGCTGGGCTTGGGGCAGAGCTGCCATGGGCCCTGCACCCTCCTAGGGACGGCCCTGCTGACGGCAGACATGCAGAGGGTAAGCAATACACTCCCTGGATTTCACTGGAGGACGAGCTGTCAGGTCCTGGGAAGCCTCTGAGGCTCCGGAGAGACCTTGCCATTAGCCATGCTATGATGGATGGAAGAGGAGAGCTGTGGTGCTCAGGGAGACATCTCTCTATCCCGTCCCTCCTCCATGGACAACTATGCTATGATGGATGGAAGAGGAGAGCTATGGTGCTCGGGGAGGCATCTCTCTATCTCGTCCCTCCTCCATGGACAACTGGGCAGCAAAGCCTCACACATCTTCCTTCCAGGTGCCAAACAGCAGCCTTCCAGGCACAGAAAGGCAGGCAGCCAGGCTATGTGGGCTGGTATGGCAAAGCCATGGAAATGGGATCGAAGAGCCCATCCACACCTGTTTGGTGATAAGCCTGCTAGTGGGATCCAGCTTGCGTGGCCAAAGGCACATCCATGTACAATCCCAGAGCTCCCAACTGCCTGGCCTGGGACGCAGGGATCTGTGCAGCACAGCAGAGAGTCAGGCACAGAGGGTGAGCATCCTGTCAGGGGCAGGGTGGCTGCAGCTGAGCCCAGCACCTGCATGAGAAACAGTGGGAGCAGCAGTGGAAAGCTGTTGTTTGCAGACAGGAACTAGCAGTGTGCAGGGAGACCAAGCAGAGGGAGGGGGAACATCATTCTGCCCCCTTGTAGTGTTCTTCCTCCAGGAATCCCAATCCTAACCCTCTCCCCCGGGGAGGCGGGTGAGTTGTCTCCATCTTACACAAGGCAAAATGGCAGTACTGGAGGACGACATTTTCAAAAGCATTAGACTAAGGAGCCTAAATCCCTCAGTGACTCATACTTGGGACCCTAAATCACTTTTGAAAATGGTCTTTAGAATGGCATTGTTAGTGCCAGTGATTTTACCCTTTAGCCATGGACAAACAGGGAATAGCAGAGCTGGGACTAGAGTCCAGGGCTCCTGGATTTCAGTCCCTGTTCTACCCATTTGCTCACACTTCCTTCCAAAAACCAAAGAGGGAACCCAGGAGTCCTGCCTGATAGTTCTTTGCCCTCCCATGTCCCCCACTGATTATATTTTTTCCCTGAAAGAAAACAAGTTAATTTCAAGAAGTGCTGAGTGTGACAAAGTAGGGGGTTCTTTTGCCTTATCTCCTGTCCTATTGTAACCCCAAATATGTGCCTCAGTTTTCCAGGGCACTGCACCAATACCTAGATGGTGAGAATTTCAGATAATAACCCACGTGCCCCGGGGAAGGGTGGCGATCAGGTGACACATTTTGCAGGAGAAGCAGGACAAAGGAGGAGGAGCCTGGGACCAGGAGTTGGGAAAGGGTCAGTCTTGGCTGGCTTGGGGTACAGGAGGAGGGTAAGGGCCTGGGCCCTCTCTCCCAAAGATGGATAGTACGGACTTGCTTCTGGTTACTGTGCTGACAAGTCTATTGTACACTGTGTCCCTGTCATTAATAAACCTTCTGTTCCACCTGCTGGCTGAGAGTAACATCTAACTGCAGATGGGAATGCAGGGCCCAGTGACTCCCCCAAACCTTTTGGTGACACCAGGAGCCTATCGTTGAAAGGGGCTGTATCCTGGCTGCCATCCTGAGCACTCCGCAGCTCCCAAAAGAGCCATTATTGTACATGACACAAGAGGCACTTCAAGGAAGGGACCAGACAGGTCATGAACACTCACGATGACAAATGTGCTATGCTCAATATCTGAGCACACCCCAGGGCTCCAGAACACACAGCCCAGGGCAGTACTTTACATTCACCAGCAAATGAGGTGGGGCAAACACCTCCTTGCCCTTTTGAGCCCGTATTTAGAAGAACAGAAACAACCAGGCTCTTTCTATGTCACTCTCTTGGCTGAGCGCAGGGAAGAAAGGGCCATTCAGAACTGTCCGAGGCCAGGACAGGCTGCAAATGTTTCCCATTTGCTAAGAGAGATGGAAACTGCCAAACAGTTTAATTAATCAATTCTTATTACTACCAACTGCACATTTCCCTGCGGGATTAGAAGTCATTTGGAAATCCCCTTATGCTGTGTTACCAGCAACATTTGGGTGTATTTGGAGAGCAAACCCCTGGCTGGCCCTGGCCAGCAGGGAGTCAGGAGGACACATGGTGCCCTGCTGACAGCCATTGCTATCCCATCCACAGGATGGTTGGGGTGGTCACCCTGGCCTCCCTGCTTTGGGGGACCCCGCAGTGGCTGCCTCAACCATTCTATGGATGGGACAGTCCCCCATATTGATGTTAGCCATGAGGCCCAGGGGATTACCTGGGGGGCCTGGTGTGAGGCAGCAGCAGGGGTCACCCCCCCTGCACTCCCTGGTGGTGGCGGCGGGAGCTGCAGGAAGTGGGGGGATGGAGCAGCCTGCTCCTCTCTGCCGC